TCAGTAGGAAGTAACTGTGGCACTCCAGATGTTGCTAACTACTAGAATACTCCCGGCATCCATCCCTATTGGCTGTACTTCCAACGGAATTATAGCTGAGAACATCTGTCTCTGGTTGCTTAAATCTTACCCAAGATAAGCTAATGAACTCAAGGATGGCATGATTTGAGCCTTAGTTTCCCCTGTTTCAGTCCAGCATTTTCCTGCACCCATTTAGTTAAAAGTAGGGCAGGCATATCTTGACTCTAAAAATCAAGATAAGCACTAGTGTCAACAAATAGATGTAGGAGAGATTCCTGAGATGTTAGAGTAAGAAGTGCTTGGCCTTTCTCCTGTAATATTTCCTCAGCTTAATAGCTATCTAATGGCAAGCTACTATGAATGAGATGTAGAGTTCAATTTAACCATCCCCGTGAGGGGAGGACATGAGGAAAAAAGATGATGCTGTGGTGTTGAATAAAATCTGAAGAGAAATATTCCCTGATGTTAACGGAATAAGGGCAAGATAGAAATGGAACAAAATGGCTATTTGGGGAAGGCTTACTTAATGGACACAATTTGGGATGTCACATCTGCTATGGCTCTTTATACTTTCTGCTGCTTTAGTTTCTTGAAAACAATTTTTGCTCCACCAAATTCAGAGCCAGATTGAAATGGGCAAGTGCATCACTTTTAGCTTAGTGCCATGTGGAAGACATTAGCAAGTGCCAACATCTTGGAAAATTTGAGGGTTCTATTTATATTGTGCAGGCAGGAAATAAAGTGTAGACAGAGTCTGAGGGTGTAATGACTGAAGGAGGGAGACAGCCAGACAGAGGCTATTGAGTATTTAAAGGGCAAGCAAACTTAGTGAGTAGTGATTCTTTCTTTTTTCTTTCTAAACATATTGTTTCAAAATAATGTTACATACAGATTTACCCAACATCCATTATGGGTTAAATTATAACAAAGCATCAGGTTTTAGATTCACCTTGATTTTTAACTATGCTTCTGGGTCCCATATGGGCACCATTAAGACCCCATCCTCACAGTGGAAGCCATTTTGTGACATATCATGCTCACTTAATTCTCTGGAATCCATGATGCTCTCTGAGTTTTGTTTTCTTGCAGAAAATTTATTTGTGGAATTCAAAAATGTTCTGGAGGGTATAGCTACCCAATATGTTACTAATTAATCATACATAGTCAAATATATTGTATATATTTTGTCACATCAAGAGTCATTATTAAAGTCATCAGAATATTCTCTCTAGTGTGGACAAATAACAGACAAGGAAGGATTGATGCAGTGAGGTAAACTCTGGAAATTGAGTTGCAGATCTGAGTTATTTCCAAATGTTTTTATTGCCATGGGGACATAGGTGGTGGTGGTGGGGAGTTTTGGGAAATAATAATACAAGTAGTAGGTAAGTAAGTAAATCTTTATTAAGGTCAAAGACCAGCAATACACATTAGTTTTTACACTATGTTAAAAAATACTGACATTAAGATATAATTAAAAGGTATTGACGTTAAAAATGGAAAATAACATACCTGTTCTCAGATTGTTCGGGTCACTCCCTGGTTTACCTGCGTGCAACGCTGTTAAGTATAGGAGTAAATACAATGGTCCAAAGATTGTTAAAGGTATGTCCAGATAATTGGTACAAGATGGTACTATACTTCTGTAGCCATTTCTTTTCTTATGGACATTGCAGCAGCACAGAACTTTGCCACTGCATACGTGGTAACCGGGTTAGTGTCCTGGAGGAGAAAGCTTAGATAAAAATTGTCTGCCTTCCCTGGCAGTCTCTCTAATAAGGGGAGAATATGTGCAGACCTACAAGCTGTGTATAGCTCGCAATAATACAAATAGTGAAATAATAAATAGCAATATTTAATTAATATTGAGTCAATGAATTTATCTTAATATTTTAGAAACCATATAGATAGATTTTTCTCCATGATAATCTGCCCCTCACTTAATTTTTTGGGTCTTCCAATAACATAACCCTCACCACAGTAGCTGACTCTATCCATCTGGTTTTTAGTTGTCCTCTTCTGTTTCCTTCCACCTTTTCTAATGTTAAGAGCTTTCTTCAGAAGGCGCACACATGCACCTCTCCATTTTACTTGTAAAAAGGAGATTTCAGATTATGTTTTTCGTAACATTTCTGTTATTAGGAGACCAGAAGCTTGTTTTTTGTGCCTTATTATATATCATCTATTGCTGGAACACACACACACACAGACACAGACACAGACACACACACACACACACACACACACACACACTTACTTTTAAAAACAATTATTTTTTCTGTAGCTAATACTGTTACTAGTATGCCAAAATATACAAAAATAAAAACCTTCGTGAATCTGAAATCATTTGGAATGATATACTTTAGACTTGTGTAACAGAAAGTGAATTGTTCAGTTACAACCATGCGAAAATATACTAGGAGAGAAAAGGGTGAAGTGGGCAAAATAAAGAATATCTTGCCAATTACTAAACGTGGGAGTTGCTTTGGGATTGGATGGCAACCCAGTGGCACAGGAATCTTATAGAGATGGGAGAGTGGATTCAACTAAATGTCAATATATCATAAAAGCTAAGGATGCATAATGAATGAAGAAACACACCAAAAAACCCCACAAGTTTGAACAACAGTGTCTTCCAACAACACAGTGATCTGAAATATACCCCCCTCAACTATAAAATACTTATGGGGAAAAACAATGGTTTTCGAATGATTGTCAAAGTTGAATATTATTGAAGATCTATGCGGAGGTCCCAGACATGCAGGAGACTTTAGATTTCTGAGCTAGAATAGTTCTGCAATAAAAAAATGGGAAATATTCTGAGAAGCAAAAATAAAAAGAGTTGTAGATGATTAAAGAAAATGTTTGGAAAACATTATTTCTGCCAAAAGACATATAATATGTAGTGACTGGAAGGGTGTTGAAAGAATGTATTCATTCTTCATTTATTCTGAATATGCAAACAATTGCACATAAAAAATAAGCATGCATCCAAATTTGCAGAAAGATGCAATGCTTAACTTTATATAGAGTCTGCGTCAGGTTCTGTTCACTTATAGATTTATTGGTACATGTAAATTGATGAAGTGTGTATAAACTTTTGCATGCAACCATACATAACACCTTTTAAATAAGCCCTTAAAAAACCTATTAAGGAGAAAAAGTCCATAGTCTTTGAGAGGTTTTTTTTCTAGGCCTACAGGAAGGGGACTGATACCCAGTGGAAGAATGCCACAAATGTGTGAGGGCTTGCTAACGTATCAATTTTACCCCAAAAATGCAGAGGGGTTAACTCTGGGGCTATGCTGACCTAAATTGGAGGATGGTTAGTATGGCAAATCAACAGCTGCCATTGATCTTAGTCCAAAAAGACCAAACAAAAAGTTATAAATCACAAATGCCCTGATAAGAAAAGAGAATTGCATTTTCTTTCAAGCAGAGGAAAAATGTTAGAATAGGAATAACATTCATTTTTTGCTTGAAGATAATTGATATTTATGTCTTGGTACTATGATTGATTTAATAAACAATGCAACTCTATGGTATTTATTGGGTTCTTGGCATTTTCAGTTTGTTTTTCCTGGCAGATATTTTATTATTGGGCAAGATAACATAAGTGATGAGAACACTAGGAAATGAATAATTCTCTCTGAGCTACTTATATTTGCAATTATTGCCATTCTGGCATATTTAAATAATTCAGTAGAATTTTCTTTAAAATGTAAATACGGTACATGAAATTATTTTATAATTTTCCTTGATTGCCTTTCTAACAAATGTCTGTGCCATCAACATTAAGTAAGTTTAGTTCCAACACATTCCATGCAGATAATTGTTTTGTTGCTGATCTGAAAAATGGCATATCTGAAAAAGTATCCAGAAGAGAGTTATAATGATGATAAATATTCTGGGTATACAAATTGGCTGGTTTTACAGATCATGCTAAATATAAGATGTTCAGTATGATTTTGATTGGCATGATGTGTAAACTATGATTTATATAGTTATACTGAATGTTACTTTTGTGTCTTTGCCAGTAAACCATAATTAAACCACTTCACAGCTGGATGTATGGTCCTTTGGATAGATAAGAAAAATAAAACATATACAGGTAGTCCTTGACTTACAAGCACAATGAAGTCCAAAATTTATATTAAGCGTGGAATTTGTTAAGTGAGTTTTGCCCCATTTTACAACTTTTCTTGCCACAGTTTGTTGAGTGAATCACTGCAGTTGTTAAGGAAGCAACAGGGCTGTTGGACACTGCAACTGTCATAAATATGAGTCAGTTGTCAAGCATCTGCACGTAAATCACATGACCACAGGAATGCTACAAGGCTCATAAATATGAAAAATGGTCATAAGTCCCTATTTTTAATGCCGTTGTAACTTCAAACAGTCATTGTTGTAAGTCGAGGACCACTTGCAGTTTTCTTTTATCTCTTTGGTATTGCTTAATCTGCCATCCTTGTTTGAGCTTCCTTTCTTAGGATTTCATGGTGATCATTTGGTGTGATTTATGAGGAGTAGAGAATTAAGGAATTTCTCTTAAGCTACGGTGTGCAGTAGATGTGCCTATTTTAACTAGGTCTTAAGTCAGTGTTCAAGTCAAGCTTCGCTGTCTGGGGAATTCTGGGAGTTGAAGTCCGGACATCTTCAAGTTGCCAAGATTGAGAAACACTGTCTTAAGTGTTAAGAGTCCGGTATTGCACCATGAAAAGAGGAAAACACTCTTGAAATAAAGAGCTAGGTCTGTTCATTTGCTAACGGCAATTCTACTGGGTGAGGGATTACGCAGACAAGGTTGCAATCCCAAGAGAGAAACTCCCTCCTGTTTCTTGGTGGTGATTTGTTCCCATCTCATACAAAGGCAGGTTTTTTTTCTTCCTGTGTTATTCTTTCTTTCATATGTGTGTGTTTTAAATAAACCCTTTGTAGGATGCCAAATGTTACTTATCTTCCTCCATTACAATTTGCAGCACAGGTTCCGGACAGTGACGAGCAATTTGTGCCTGACTTCCATTCAGAGAACTGTGAGTCTTGAAACTGGGGAGATGGAGAGGTGGGAAGGTCTTGCTTTGATGGGGAAGAAGATGAAAAGTACCCAAACTTGATGCCAACGACTGAAATGCCTCCATCTGATCCTTCATGCTGAAAATGCCAGAGCTGAGTTTACTTCTCTAGATGCCAGATAGGATTGAAAAAAAACCCATCCTGGCCACATGTTTTTGATTCTACCCACCACACTTCTTCTACTTAATCTGCTTCTTGGACATTGTCCTTTTTGATATTCCTACACTTGTATTTGTTCCTACTGAATATTTTATTTAAAAATTTTGTTTGTGGAAGCATATTTGTGATAGTTGGAAGTTTTGTAGGCTGTCAAATAACTTGTTAATGTTTGACATTCAGTTATTGTACATAGGGAGAGCCCTTAAGACTTCTCTTCCCCTTGGGAGGGTAGATGTAGGGCCACACTCCTTAACTAAACGGCCTCTGATTTCTGGTTTCTCATTGTTCCATTAATATATATAGGAAGGGATATTATGGCAATATTTTGGAGCACAGCATGGAATCTGGGCACTGAAGTTTCTCTACATGTCCAAAACATGAGGCAAAAGCTATACTGGCCCAGGAATTGGCATGATTTATTTTCTTCTATTGTTTTCAGTGGGAGTGAAATACAAGATAAATGTCCTTTCTCCACTCCACTCTAGTCTTTTGCTAGATAACAAAACTTAGGTAGAGGCCATTCACTGCCACCAATTTTCCCTTGCAAGATAGTTTTTATATCCTGAACACTGCTTGCAAACTCAATAATATAATCATTTTAATTGTTTTTAAAAACCTGGAGGACAGTTGAGGGAAAGTGTTTTATTCATCTGAGTATATTTACCTATAAGGGCCTCTTCCTGCCAAGACACACCTTCCTATGCAATTATAAATCAAAATGACCATTTCTAGTCCTTTTAGTTTTGGAAATTTAATATTATATTATGAACAACATTCATGAAGAACAAAATTATCTTAAGAGAACATTTATTCCCAAGATCAGAAAAGATGGCATGTGACTAAAAAGATGACTCCTACTTTTCTTCGTTATTAATTTTCATTGTAAATTATCTGAATAGCTTCTGTGAAATTTGTCCCTTTAGATTTCCCTGTACTTTGTTAATTCATCCTCACCTGCCTCTCTCACATACACTAGTATTCTGGCAATTGCTTGGACAAGTTCTTGCGGTTGTCTTGGAAATATTTAAAAGTGGTTTGCCTTTCTTGGACTGAGAGAGTGACTGGCTCAAGATCCCCATACTGGCTTCATGATTCATGACAGGCCTAGAATTCATGGCCGGATGCCTGAATCACTACACCAAATTGACTCCCTTACCTCTCTAGCCTACCATATTTTCACTGCAAACCCTTTCTGGCAACCCTAGGACTGCCTTCCATATTATGCTGTTCTCTTCTGTTGTTGCGTCTGTAGTACTGTTGTTACTAGTAATTTCATAATGCCCAATTTTGTTTAAAAGGATTTCTTACATATACAGATTAGGTTGGATCGAGATTTGGGAATATGTGACTGCAATGAGGTATGACTGACGATCTATAAATTATGCTTCAGTTCAATGAGTATTGTCTAAGGCAGAGGTGTCCAAACTTGGGAACTTTAAGACTTGTGGACTTCAACTCCCAGAATTCCTCAGCCAAGCTGAAGACACCCCATGTCTAAGGGTTTCATTTACATAGGAGTCCAAGCAGAATTTTTAACTATCAAATGATCCAAATCTGAACAAATATAAACTAAACACATTATGGCAGCACTTAATCACTTTTGTAGGCCTTTAGATACCATTACATAATCTGGTTTGAAAGGCCAACCACACTCACAAAATCATCCAGATCTTATGAAATGTAAGCTACCTCAATCCAAGACCTGAGCAGATTCTGCCATTTGTTTTTATTGAACTAAAGAAATGTTCTAATTTTAGGAGATGTAGATACATGTAAGGCAAGGGCATTTGTGGGGAGGAAGAAAAATAATCAAGATGAAGACCATGAGCCCATAATTAATCAACCCCTCTTTTTTATTTAACTTATGCTTGATGTACTAAAATAAGAATTGAATTTCTATTGTATGATGGTTCTTCCTTGATTAAAATGTTCTTTATAGGAAGTAAATGACAAAAGTACCTAAAACTCAGAAAACAATACTCTTCACATAGTTTCTCATAGAAACTCCTAGAACTTTATAGAAATTCATGGAAGAGAACCTAAAGCTCATGGCTTTATGACTGACTCAATACTTATCCAACCAAAGTGAGCATTAGAAGAAAGAAGCATGAAAATTTGTTGGATGATTCTGGGTCAGTCAGCATCTCTTAACCTACCCTTTAAAGGGTTAATAGTGTGGGCGAAAACTGGAGGACAAACAGCTGCGTGGAGCTCCTTTTGAAAGGTCAGGTTGTAAATCTAAATTTAATGAACAAACACGACATTCCAAGGAATTTCTCAGATAGAACTGCGATGATCTAATCTAAATAATTGTTGAAACAGAGGGATGGAGCTGCATGAAATACAGAAACTGCCTTATTTCATGTAGGACATTTTAAACTAACTATTGCCTACCTGGACTGGAACCAGACTCATAGGCCATTTTCATAATCAATTTATGTATTCTTAACCAAGTTTAAATCTGGGAGTTTTGAATGCTAAGAATGTCCTCTTGTACAAAGTCCTATCTCAGATTCTTTTGTAGCTAGGCTCTGCAAATACAATTCTGATGTAGGTTAAAGCACCTCTCCCCACCCCCACCCCCACCCCCTTCAAATCAGAGGTAACATCTAGTTCTCAATTTCTTCTTCGGGGTTGAGAGGGGAGGGAAGTCCTTGCCCCCTTGTTATGCTTGGTTGATGCAAACTCAGACTGATGAGTGTCCTGATGTCCTTACTCTCCTTTTTTTCTTACCCAGTGGCCCTTCACAGTCCTCCAGCTAAGATAAAAAAGGAACCACAAAGCCCATGTGTGGATGCCTCCAGTTCCTGCAGACACACACAGCCTTTTCATTACCAACCCAGGGAGCAATGCTTATATGCCAGGTAATGCTGCTACAGAACAAATGCTGATCACTTTGTGTTCCTGCAGTCATGAGAATTTGTTCTCTGTTAGGAATTGCCAAGAATGCTAAGTAGAGGTTCCCTTCAGATTTTGCTGGTAAGTTTGAGAAAAAGGCCAAGACATGCATGTTAACTATAGCCAAACCTCTTAACACTATATTGTCCAATAACTCACCACTATCCTGCATATTTTGAAGCTAAGAAAACCTGATGTCCATATTGATTGGCAACTTAATATGCTGGTAGTGCTGATTAATAAATAGTCTATTCCATCCTCCCATTAGAGAGTATCAGTATCACCCCGATGTAGGAATTTATCCACTAACCATCAGGTTGAGTCTGATCATATAAATGCAGTTATTGAAAAGGGATGGAGGAGAACTGAATTTCACAGATCAGTGGTGCAAATGCAACAAATTGGATGCTTGGCAATTCAGAAAAGTGAAATAAGACTATTAAATTGTGTTTGGGGGCTGAAACAAGGGAAGTGTCAAAGGGACTTTGTTGTTATTTGCGAAGTTTTGTCCAACCCATCGTGACCCCATGGATAACGTTCCTCCAATACTTCCTGTCCTGTACTATCCTCTGGAGTCCATTTAAGCTCACACCTACTGCTTCAGTGACTCCATCCAGCCATCTCATTTTCCGTCATCCCCTTCTTCTTTTGCCCTCAATCTTTCCCAGCATTAGGCTCTTCTCCAATGAGTCCTTCCTTCTCATTAGGTGCCAAAGTATTTGAGTTTCATCCTCAGGATCTGGCCTTCTAAAGAGCAGGAACTGGCCTTCTAAAGAGCAAGGTTGCTCTCCTCCAGGACTGACCGGTTTGATCTCGCTTGCAGTCCAAGGGACTCACAGAGTCTTCTCCAGCACCTTAGTTCAAAGGCCTCAATTATTTGGCACTCAACCTTTCTTATGGTCCAACTTTCACAGCCATACATTGCAACTGGGAAAACCATAGCCTTGACTATACGCACTTTTGTTAGCTTCTGCTGTAAAAATTAATGAAGGACTCTTGGACATGTTGTAAGTAGGATTAGCTATCAGTTCTTGGCTAAACAATACACAGTCTTTTTATTGTTCTGTTCGCAGGTTGATTAGAGTAGAATGCAGTAGAGTAGATTGGAAAAGACTGCATGTTTTAGAACCAAGTGAAGTGCTTTGGGCCTCACAAAAGTACAGCATTTCTTGACTAATAATTGAAGCATCCTGAATTTTCTCCAACATCTGTATGAATCTAAAAAAATGCCACTGATTGTAAGGAATCAGGAGATTTGTGATTCTTAAATTCTTTTTTTCCTCCTGGATTGTATGAAATTTTTGAAAAGAACCACTATGTAGTGTTGCATAGCAAAGAGGTGCTTGGAGTGTATGCAAGGTCTGAAACCCTTCATCATTTTTATAGCCTGCACAGTTTTAATTTGCATTCTTATTCTAAACTGGGCAGGCTGCCTCTGGAGTACTTGGAACACTACCTTTTAAAAAAGCACATATAAAACCTATGCAGATGGGGAGTTACTGCTGAAATTATTCAGTAAGCTTAATTTGGAGAGATTATTGAAAAAGATAATGATGATGATTCATTTTACCCTGAAAGTTTTAAATGATAGAGCAAATGTATCTGCTTCCACAAGGGGTGCAGGGGATGGGAAACGGGGATCTTGACATACTGTTGGAAGAAGCATGAGCTAGTCAGTAGAAAAAAACAAAGCTGCCTAAGGGAGGTGATAAGCTTTCTTCTGCTTGGAAGTATTGAAGCAGAAGTCAAATGTCCACGTGGAATGATGTTGCATTGGACAAAGGAGATGGCTAGATGAACTCCAAGATGCATTCCAATATTATGAATTCTATGAAGATAATCAGAAGTAGCTCCTTATTGAATATGCAAATAATGCTAGTTGCCTTCATTCAGCAAGAAAATGAGAGGGGGTTAAGATATGATAATATCAGGCTGGAAGAGTGGAGAGACCCGATTAATTGTGGCCTAAGAATTCTCAACACCAACTGTTCTGTTGTCCACTGTGACAAATTCTCCAGGATCCGCATTTCCAGGATTCACACTTTGGTTTATCTACTGCAAAGCCTTTTTTTTTTCTTGGTTTGTTCTCTCTTTTTGATCCAGCTGGATCCAAACTTTGGACCTTTCCAGATTCAAGGAGTATATATGAGAACTCATAGACAGAAATGAGTAAGCCTCATCCTTACAACTCCCTTTTTCCACCTCTGAATTTAGCTGTTGGGACAGCTGAGTGGGTTGGCTGGCATATTCTGGTTGTTTTCATCCAACGTGCTTAACCTATTTAATTTACTTTCCTGAATTAACCCATTTTCTGAATGTGTTTGCTGTGTTGAATCGTAAATTATCAACTGGATTGGGAAGTACAATGAGCCACCAAAATACATTGACAAAAACCTTTTATAAAGTATGACCATGATGTCATGCAGCTGTTAGATATTTATTTAATTTGGTTAAACATTTATTTAGACAAATCTTCTGTCTAATAATGCAAAAAGAGCAGATATGAGGGTGAATCTTCAAAAGACATACCCTTTTATTATGAACCGGGCGGTATCACACAGTGTTGTTTATGATAGTGTAGGTGTCTAAAATAAATAAATAAAATTTGAAAAACAGCCCCAAATGTTGGTGTTCCTGTCCAATCAGGTGTTTCCTCTTTGAAATACTACTGTGGATGATCCCTGTTGTTTGTGTTAAGATGCTGGTGGGCGGAGATGATTGTTTCAGTCGGTCACATTATCTCTCCAATCTTAAAATTCTTGTTGATTCTTTGTCCCATTGACAAAGAATATCTGCCCTTTAGGCCAGGTATGTAGTTTTAACGTAGATTCTTCCATTTCCTATGAACCAGGGAACAATCTATCATTGAGTCATGCTATATTTTTTTATGCGTGGCATTGTAAAAAAAAATGCCACGCATAAAATAATATTTCTGCCTCACCATTCATAAATTCTCCTTAATGGTTCTGACATTCCTTGAGCTGCTTTTTGCAACTTTCTGTTTTCTAGCCTTTATGTGCCACATTTCAGTATCTCCTCTTCCTTCATTTTCCTCCCCTACACTCTCCACTTCCACATGCAAGGTCTTGGATTCGAATGCCATCTCCTAGCCCTTATTTACCCATCAAGTTCTCCTAGGTCCCTTTCAATTGTTTTCTTACCCCTGTTCCTTGTTATGTTCTTACCTATAGAGCTCTTTTCACTTCTCTCCCTCAGATATTCCCCCTCTTGAAGTCCACATCACATTTAAATGGTGCCATCCAATCTTTCTTCTCTCTTTTCTGTTTCACCTCCTTTAAAGCAGGAGCACCCAAGAATTTGTTCTTTTGATGAGTTGCCAATTAGAAGCCTATTTCTAAAAAAAATAGGCCAGATCAGAAGATATCAAAAGGTAATTTTGGTTTAATTTACAATTTCAAAGAATGAATATGATTCCTTCCCCTGTGGTTGTGTCCACATCCAAAGCTTTCAGTAGCCACACAAGTGCAGCTCTGCTTTAAAATCATCAGCATGGCTGTCTGTGGCTTAAGAATCATGTGGGGTCCTCAGTCTAATTGAGTATGTGTGACAAGAAAAGAAAGACAAGTAGGAGACCAAAAGAAAGCCCTGTTCCTTCTCAAAAATATAGGTCATCAGTGCTTTTGTCTGACTGCAAAACAAAAGTCAAGTCTGAATCGAGTTCTGAATAAATAACCTCTTCAGAGCCTATCTATTACGACGCATCAGGGTTTTGCTGGGGAAAATGGGAAATACCAGCAGGAGGGAGAGGGATATATCTTGCTGCACCTGATGCTTACTCTTTTCTCTAGGCAAGATTCAAACAATGTGAGCCACCACGGCCCACTCCAGACAGCACCTAGCCAGGCATACTGTATGGAACAAAGGTAAGCCAATGAATTGGGTGGATAAAATTTCTAATATTTCTCACTCTATCTGAAAGGTTTTAGGGCAGCTTAATACTCAGTTTGCACGCGAGGTGTTGCTCTGTCAGCTGGTCAGCACACATGCGCATGCTGGCCAGCTGAGTTCAGCCATTTTTAAAGCCATTTTTCACCCTCCCCAGGCTCCAGAGGCTTTATAGGAGCCTGGTGAGGGTGAAAGCAGCCTCCCACACCCTCTGGAGCCCCTCTGGAGGCTTCAGGAGCTTCCATGTAGCCTCTGGAGTGCAAAAAAAATGGAAATTCAGGAACAGACTTCCGGTTTGCTCCTAGGGCCAGTTTAAGCCCTCCAGAGCCTTTAGGAACCATCCGGAAGCTTCCCTGAAGGATCCGGAGGATGAAAAACGATCCAACGGACAAACCGGAAGGAGAAAAGGGGGGGGAGTGCCTGTCATACACGCATGCACAATGGGTGTGTGTGTCGTGCATTGCATTATGGGTGCAGCACAACCCGCGCACAACTTCCCTGCGCTCCCACCACTTATGGCACGCGAGCCAAAAAAAGGTTCGTCATCACTGCCCTATACCATTTCAGACAAGTGGATGTCCAATCTCTTCTTAAAAACTTCCATTGTTGGAACATTCACAACTTCTGGAGGTAAGTTGTTCTACTGATTAATTGTTCTAACTGTCAGGAAATGTCTTCTTGGTTCTAGATTGCATCTCTCCTTGATTAGTTTCCACCCATTGCTTCTCGCCCTGCTTTCAGGTGCTTGGGAAAATAGTTTGACTCCCGCTTTTTTGTGAACAACTACTGAAATATTAGAACATCCCTAGTCCTCCTTTTCATTGAACAGCATTATGTTCAGCTGATGCCTGGTTTTACATCATGGGTTAGGCTAAAATATGATTGCTTTTTTGAAGACTTGATGCCTGTTGGGCACAACAGGGTTGGTTGAATCAGTCAGCACATATTGTAAATACTCATTCCCATGGGTCAGTAAAATAGGAGTTCAAGCTACTACAGACTTGGTTCAGAGACCATCACTCTGCAATTTTTTAAACTACGAAATACACAGTGATTCAAGTGAGGAGTTGGTTCTACCACAGATGGAGACATTTTCCACTCTTCCTATCCTGGTTCCATCTTTGCTTCAAATATCACACATGGTGACAGTGAAGCAAAATAGAGACATGGAGTTCCTGCAGCAACCCTATTTTAACAACCGCCATTCAGTGGTGGGATTCAAAATGTTTTACTACTGGTTTTGTGGGCGTGATTTGGTGGGCATGGCAGGGCAAAGATATTCTAAAATCTCCATTCCCACCCCACTCCAGGGGAAGGATACTGTAAAATCCCCATTCCCTCCTGATCAGCTGGGACTTGGGAGGCAGAGAATAGATGGGGAGGGCCAGTCAGATTTTTACTGGTTTACAGATATTTAACTACTCACAATTTCTACTACCGGTTCTCAAGAACTGGCCAGAACCTGCTGAATACCACCTCTGCCCCACCTCTAGGAATTTTCCTCCACAGCAGCTACTAGACAAAGAATTAATATTATTCAGGTGACACAGCTGATGGGGGAGAAGTTAGTTTAGCCCACACAGAACTAAGAACCTATCTATCTCAATTGAATGTTTATGTTTGTTTATTAGGGTTTGTATGCCGCCCACTCTCAAGAGACTCAGGGCGGCTTACAGATAAAGCAGGAAGGGGGAACATATAAAAATTAAAAAACAAACATTAAAATTCACAACATTCATAACTCAGAATGGGGCTGGATAAATCAACAGCCCCAGGCCTGCCGGAACAGCCAGATCTTAATCGCTTTGTGGAAGGCCGGAAGAGTAGTAAGAGTCCAGATTTCCACGGAGAGATCGTTCCATAGGGCCGGAGCCGCTACAGAGAAGGCCCTCCCCTGGGGGGTCGCCAGCCAACATTGACCGGCAGATGGAATCCGGAGGAGGCCTAGTCTGTGCGATCTTATAGGTCTCTGGGAGGTAAATGACAGGAGGATGTAGCAATTCACATGATTGTAGCAATTTACATGACATGTTGACTCTTTACCCATTAAACATCCAGTGGAGGGTACTAAATAAGCTACTGTGGTTAATAGTTCAATAGGATCCCATCATCTCAAGTGGCCTGTTTAAAGGTGACGATGGGAATTGTTTGGCTCAAACACCTGAAGAGTACTTTCCTTTGGTAAACTTGAGCATAAGTGTTTCACTTCCTGATATTGGACTCTTTTCAAAGGAGTGTTGGGTCCCCCATACCCTTCATGTACTGTAAGGGATGATTAAATGCCTGTTCTTTATTTGCCTGCCTGTACAACTGTATGACTTCTTCTGCATTCCTTCTAGTTCCTTGTACCAGCTGCATGCTGAGACCAGCCAGTCCTTCTCTGCCTCTCATGCCTTGGTATCAGACAGCCCTTCCATTTATCAACGTCCATGGTCTGCCCCATGTTTGCCGTATCCCCCTCAGGGCTTCAAGCAGGAATTCCACGACCCCATGTATGAGCAAGTGAACACACTGGGAGACATAGACCGTTCCCAGTATGCAACTGGTGTGGTGATAAAACAGGAGCGGATAGACTATGCTTTTGACACAGGTAGAGTACAAGAAAGTGGGAATGTAGTATACATATATGTGTGTGCGTGTTTAGGACTAGCTTTAGTTCTTTGGACCAGGTTTATCTTTTTCCTGCTACAGAAATTTGCTTGGTCCAGCTATGCTGATCAAGGGGCTTACTTGGGCTTACTTGGTATTACTTGTAACACTACCTCCCTCAAAAAAAAAGTGAAAAAGAAGTGTGGAGGCCTCCATACTGGTCCTGCCAAAATCTTGGATCTTTGCTGCTATTGAAAGATGCCATTTGTTGATTTCACTTATGGACATACCAAAACCGGGCACATAGAACAAGATTTATATCTGTATGTAACAGTATTTCCCAATGATACATTCACCCAGAAACTCTGGGATTTAAACCAGCTTCCGCCAACCTCATGCATGCTAGAGGCGGTGGTCTACAATTCCACATCCCCATATTCTGGTAGGTGATGAGGACAGTCATAATCCAGAGTATCTGGAAAATGATCTGGAAAGTACCTTTTTCTTCCACACAGTATTACTATTTTTGTGTATTCCCAATATATTGTATGTTACGTTCAGATTCTTTCATACATACTTAATTTTGTTATGATAGTTTTATACCTAAATAAAAGAACAAAAATCATGCAGAGGGATGTTTGCTTCTGGTGTTATGTTCCCTTGCCATTGTAAGACCATTAATTCAACTGGCTGATCTTTGGGCCTTAATTCAACTGGCTGATCTGGAAACCTCAGTAGGGTTCTATTGATTTATATTTGGTTGGGGAACCCCCAGTTCTATAGCATAACTGACCAGTTTAACAAAAAAAAAAAACCATGCAAAAGATTACAATGGGAAATCTCTTCCATAAGGCTGACAAGAAAACTCTATGGAGTTGGGCTTGATTCATGGGCAAATGCCCAATCCATTTAACAAACTTGCTGTGGCTTGGCAGGGGGAAAAAGTGCCAACACTTCTCCAGCTCATGAGAAGTTATGTACATTAAAATGTTTTAAGTTGCTTTCCCCCCCCCCCCCTACACCCATTAAACTTCAAGTATGTCCCTTTTTCTTTCCTTTAACTACCACCCTTGCCTATATAAGAGATTTTTTAATGGATTCCCTGACCTTTAAATGTTTGGAGAGAAAGAGGAAAAACTACTCTGTTCCCCCAGGGCTGGCAAGGCATTGCATAACCTTGAGTCTCTACCTTCCTGCTGGTTTGGCCCAGAGCCTGTCTCTGTGGCTGGCTGGAATGGAAAGGAATTTCATTCACAAAATGGATGCACAGGAACTGGTCTCCGGATGAGGAGTGTTGGGTTTCACTGCTCCTGCTCTCCTAGTGGTACAACTGAAATCAGCCGGCAGGCTGGTAACACAAGCCAAAGCTTGGCTCACTGCCCAGAGAAAGTGGGAGCATGTGCAGAAAATGACACCTGCAAACCTGGGAGGGAAGCATCCAACTGGCATTTGAAGTAGGAAAGCCTCTGGCTATCCAGGAGAAATGCACACCCTTCCTGACCCTTTTTATAGCTCCACATTTCCCCAGAGGCTGCCATTAGTGCCTTTCCTCACTTGCTTTTTCTCCTGCTGTAAACTTCTTAAAGTGTCAGCTATTAGGAAAAGAATAAGATTGCATTATCCCTGAGAGCTGTCTTTTCAGGATTTAACCCATTAATACTGAATAAATGTTTACTTGCTTTCATATTTTTTTTCTGCTGGGTGTAAATGGGTAGATAAAACTGTTAGGTGAAAAATAAAAGTATCCAGTGAATCATAGATTTGGCTATTGAAAGGTGTTTCTGTAAGTATGGATAATCCAAGGCCCTCCAGATGTTGATAAACTACAATTCCCAGCATCCCTTATAGCAAGCTAGTTTAGATGGAGTTTCTTAGAGAAATGGTTCAGCGGCAATTGAAAGATCAGAAGATCTCCAGACCTTATAAGAAAGGCATGGCGTATTTCTCACATACACTGTAATTTATTTTAATCGTTTTTATGTTTCACTTTTTCCTTAAAAAACTCTTCACTTAAACTAATAATATTCATTCATTCAAATCAGACAAATGTCAAATAAATTCTGAAAAATAAAAATCTAGAGCAAAAAAAAGCCTTCTAAAGAAAAAACATATCAAAATTGGTCTTAAATATCTTAATGAGTATAAAAATGTGGATGGAAGTGAGTTCCAACAAGAACATTCCTCAAATTAATTCATTTTGAATCTAATTCATATCCCATTTGTTTCCCAAAAATGTTATCCAATAATAGCATTGGCACCATCAAACACACATCTTCACACATTTTCACACATCTGAAACAAGGCCAACAAATATTTATTCCATGTTCGCTTTTTTTGTTTGAGTTACAGATGTGGCAAGTTGCCATTCAATGTATAGGAATGCAGAAGGATTACCAAGTTGTTCCAGTTCTGAAGGCGTCTTAGGTGAGAAAAATAATCTTGGGGTTCCTGGTAGATTTCATACAATTTTCTCTTTAAGGTGGTGGTGGTGGTGATGATGATGATGATGATTATGATGATGATAATAATAACAACAATAACAACAACAATAATAATAATCAACAACAACAATATCTGCCTATTCCAGATCCTAAGGAAGGACCTGATAAGTGGATAAAATGCCAAATCCAGTATAAACATCTGGCTTACTATGTGACCAGTTATAATTTGCTATGGATTGTTCTGGGAGTAGATTTGGATGCATGACTGGAGAGAGGGGACAATTTCCAGCTTCTATTATTTCCCAGAAAAAAAGTCCACTACTTTTTACAGTAAAAAATGTGAACTTATACGATTCTTGTAAGAATTCTTAGTAGATACTGCTTTGATTGTTTGCATAGAAAAATCTGGAGAGCAGAAAGATGCGATTTTGTAGGCTTAAGCCTTCCTTCCTTTTGTTTGTTTGTTTATTTATTTATTTACTTATTTATTTATGTTTATATTTTTATTTTGACACGTACAAGGAAATAAGTATGAAAACACATGAAAAAATGGCACAAATAAATGGATATAAATAAGCAAAACATATCCATAAACACATAAAAAGAGTTCATATAAATAGGGACAGTAGGACAGGGACGGTAGGCACGCTGGTGCACTTTTATCCTACAACAAGCAAGTAGAAAGCACAGCAGAGGCACATCAGTCTAAAAGAGTGCCAACTTGAAGGGTTCATAAAAGGGCTTGAATTTGCATCTGATTATCAGACTCAGTCCTAGGATGCAAGGCAAGCACCTAAACAATCAGTTGCAAGAGCACATGGACCACATTATTCTTAGCATGGGGTTTCCTTCAGACTTTATCTAAGAAGGAGAAAATGTTCACACAAGAGGGTTGCGTCAATAATATTCAAGTGTATTCAACACCAATGCTGACTTGTAGGTAGACATTCATTTTGAAGAGATACTGAGTTGTTGTTTGCTTACCAACTTACTGCTAGTTAGAATGAACAATAAATGGACTTGGGATGTGTGTTATAAGAAGCAGATTTGTACTTTTAGGAAAGAGACAATTCTCCCCAGTCTGGTTTCAGCCATAGTATCTATAAAGCATCACCTCCCCATCTCCCCACCCACAACTAAACAATGAAGAAACAAGTACACCTACTGAATATACAGCCATCTTAACTTCTGGAAGAACAATTAGTAGAATTAACACCATTAACAATGGAAGGTTTTATAATGATAACAAAAGTCTCACATGGTTAAGTCTAGCTAATCAAAAGCCTAAGGAGCCACAGTAATTGTGTGATCAGTCGCATCAATCCTGGGAAGAATTTTGGTACTTCATCTCTGAATGTCAATGACTTACATATATCTAGAAGAAATGCAGATCAGATTCTTGATATTTACCTGTTGTTCTTTGGTTGTTGGTTTTTTTGGCAGGCTATGGTTATGAGAGACAAATGCGACCATTTGCAGAAGATGTTTGTGTTGTTCCTGAGAGGTTTGAAGGTCAGAAACAATAGCATTTGGCTTTAGTTCCCTTAATAGCCAAGCTACCCAATCTTCCAGTTGAATATTTGAACTAAGAATACACCTCTCATAAATGTAGCATTCCCTTAAGCCAGTGGTTCTCAGCGTGTGCTCCATAAACCCCTGGGGTCAGCAATGTCATTGCAGGAGATCTGCGAAGGCTTCAAGAACTATTATGATCTAAATCTTGTCTTGAAGTCCGTGGTCATGGTCTGCCTAAGCATTACTCCTTCAGTTATAGTAGGACCCCCCCCCCCTCTTTCTGTAATTTTGCAAAGTTTACAGATGCTGGACTTCGGCTTACATCATACTTTATATATTTGGTTGGTATCAAATCTGAACTTTTAAATCTGAAGTTGAACAAAATATTCACATATTAGTCCCAAGGAATATGTAGTCTATGATGTTTTACAGGTAGATATTCGGATTATTTTTTCCAAAAGTGGAATCCACTTTTTCATGCTATTTGCGAAGCATAGAAACTTAGATTTGTAAATATCAACTTTAAATCTATGTGACAGGGTTCCAAGTAACACACCCAACCAACGAAATCAAAACTCCAAGGCAGGCATTTTCCTCAAAGTTTGAATTTATTAGAGATGTTCTATTGGCACATCTGGGAAAACCCGAATCTGAAGCCCCTGGGCTTTCCCCACTCAAAGTAAATTCAAAGTTCCTTCCCTTGCATCCACCTGGGCATCACATGGTCCAATCAGGTTGCTGTCCTAATTGTAATTGACTCCCAGTCACGCTCCTCCCGCCCATGGTGCAAGATGAACGTCCTTGACTCCCAAGGGGAAAATGTTGTTATGTCTATACACCCCGCACTGTCTCCAACCCACGGGCTGTTTTTTTTATCTTTGACAATTTGGGGGTTCACTTGCTGACATTTCCCTCTTGCTTCTCACTGCCTCTATATCACAGATGTCAAACTCTCTGCGTCATGTTTCCATCATATGACATTTTGCGAAGTTTTTCCCATTCACGGAGTTGGGGTGGGCGTGGTCTGCGCATGACGCATCCAGCCTGCAGCCTGCCAATTAGACACCCCTGCTCAACATGCCTTCTTGTAATTCCACTTAAGTTTCCTCGTAGATGGTGTAATAATGATGGAGAATTACTTTGAAATATAGCAGCTTCCCCAAATTAATGGGATTGTAATTTCCAGATGTTTCTGAAGAGAAGGTGTGGGAGGAGTAACCATGGGTATTAACCAAGCCTTCTTGCCTATTGTAGACTGAGGTAATCTTTTGAAGCCACACCTCCTGCTCTCCTCTGGCTACCCAGATTAACCTCAGTCTTTGGCCTGAAAGGAGTGTTACTTGTTCTCTCCCTTCTTTTCGAAAACTTAGGAGTTTTTTTCCCTTTCAGCAAGGATTCTTTTCTAGCAGGATTAATATTTAAGGACAACAAATTGCCTCACCATCCTTCTGCTGTGCTCCACGCCGCTTTTCAAGCTTCGGCTTGCCAGCGTGTGCGCAAACTCCCCGTGTGACCGACCGNCCAACAAATAAAAAGAGAAGGCATGTCTGCCCAAAGCAAAAAGTAAAGGAGAAGGATACTCATCAGGATATAACAGTACAACTCCAAATTAACCATCTAGTACAACAACTAGATAATGAGAAGGATGGTCAGAGTCCTCTTTCATTTGTAGAAATGCCAGTCTTAGATCAAAATCAGGGGAATACTAGCAATCAAGATAAAGAAGAGCAACAATTACAACTTAGGAGGAGGAATATTGAACTTTACAATAATTCAGAGGTGGGATTCAACCGGTTCTAGCCTATTCACTAGAACCGGTAGATAATTTTCTAAGCAGTTCAGAGAAACGGTTGTTAGAAGAAATCTCCTTTTGTTTTTTTCCACTTTACAGGGTTAATCCTGTAAGGAGGGCAGGAAAGAAACATTCTGGTGTTATTTCTAGTCTAATCTTTATTGCCCTGTTTACAGAAACTGCCTCTCCGTTAACCCTTATTACATTCTTGGCAGTACGCCTAGACTTACTGACTCCAGATTTTTTTTAAAAAAAATTCCTTTGCTTAAGGGGGAAGGGTTGTTTTTTACTCTGCTGTTGGGAGGAAATACTCCCCTGTTGGAGTTCTTCCAGCCGGGATGCAATGATCAGCATTTTGAAGAAGTAATTGAATAACGAAGCAGAGCCACCAGAAAGAAGCTTTTAATGACAAGGAACCAAGATTTAATTCTGTGCTTGATGATGTTTAATCCTGTGTTTATTTATTTATTTATTTTTTTATCTACAAACATATCATTGTGTGAACACTGTGGAACCAGAGTTACATTTTAGTACAATTAAAACAATACTCTTGATATTTAATACAATTAACAATATTATAGACTTTTAGTAGTAATACACATATTTTGTTGAATTATAATCTTTCCTTAATTATTCCATGTTTCAGTATATTATTTTTATGCCAATCTTCATATTCTTGATATCACTCCTTTTACTACAGATAGAATACCAATAATCATATTTGTTATGTTTAACAGACTTATATAATTCTAATAGTAATACAAAGATGTATATTGAATTATAATCTTCCATTGTTCCCCTTTCTAATTTTTAGTTATGCCACTGTTATTTTCAAAAATATCCCCCTTCTAATCACATTTTAAAACAAATAAAACAATGTTCATCTTAGGGTCAGGCCTGCAGCCAGGTCCTTTTGGGATCTTTGGCCTGTCACACTAATATTCTATTCTACTATGCTGTTTCATTAGTGGGGAATTGGGAGGGGGAATAGTATGGAGTAGAATGTGATTGTCANAGCTGGCTGAGGAACTCTGGGAATTGAAGTCCACAGGTCTTAAAGTTGCTAAGGTTGGAGACCACTGCATTAGAGGACTAACTATAATGTATGTGGGGAAGAGGAATTAAAAAAAGAGACAAGCTCAAAAGAAACTAGAAGAGGAATATAAGAAGTTAGAGATGGAATTACAAAAAGAGCCACAAAAAAAGAATTTAAAAAATCAAATGGATTTTAAAAAGCATAAGTTGAATGTAATAGATAAAGAAAAACTAGCACAAAAAATTAGAAGCTCTAAACAAAATTTCTTTCAGAATGCAAACAAACCAGGAAGATGGTTGGCATATAGACTGAAAAAGGAGAAAGGAAAAAAACTGATTCACCAATTAACAGATGATAAAGGGACTTCATATTATCGAAATTTTGATAAAAAGACAATAATTCATGATTATTATGAAAAATTATATGATCAAGAAAAAATCCCAGAAAGGAAAATAATATGATACTTAGAAAAAGCAGAACTACCTACAGTACCAGAAACAGTCAAAATAGCACTAGAAGAAAGAATAACAATGATGGAATTAACAGAAGCAATTAAAAGACAAAAGACTGGTAAAACACAAGGTCCGGATGGACTACCAGCAGAACTGTATGAACCGAACTCTTGGATGGAAACATATATTACCCTCATACCGAAAGAAGACTCAGATTTGCAACAGATAAAAAACTATAGGCCAATATCCCTGTTGAATGCAGACCATAAAATATTTATTTCAATAATGGCAGAAAGATTGAAGTGATTTTTAAATCAATTTATTCATACAGACCAAAAGGGTTTCCGACCTGAGACAAATCAGAGACAATATGAAAATAATTTTGAATACACTGGAATACTATGAAGTACACTTGGAGAAGCAAAAGGCGTTGATTTTCCTAGATGCACAGAAGGCGTTTGATAATGTGAATTGGTAGTTTATGTAGTTATTGCAGTTAAATAAAAAGACTGAAGAATTAAAGTCTCTAATGGGAAACTACATCTTTAAATTAAGTAAATAGCAAAGCCCATGCTCCAAAACTTACTTTTAATTCACGGACAGCTCACATGGATTGGGGACTGCAAGATGGAGAAAACACAGAGGAGAGGCTAGTTCTACAGAGACATAAGATTCTACTCCAAGTTACTGATATTCCTTTGAACAGGGGCAGGTGGAATAACAGACAAGTAATACTGAACTCTCTTTCCCAACTTTTACACTGCAGAGCATATTCTAACGAATTAACAGAGATTTTTTGGGTCCCCAGCAGAATGATTGTGAAAGAATATTGTCAAGCGTTGGGCAGATTGTTCTTCCATCAATGTTATTCAGGCTTGAAACCTTTCTAAGGAAATATTGTATTTGGCCAATACAGGTGTTTTATACAACCCAAATCCAACCTCTGCTAAAGTCTGGGCAGAGAGCCAAGACACCAAGGGAGGCTGACTCTAACCTTGAAAATTCTAAAACATTAACAGCCAAGCAAAGAATTCCTCTATTAACAAGGATAGAACAAGATAAGGATAATAAAAAGAGAACTTAGATCTATTTAATGGACAGTAACAGTTTATGGATGATGAGGAAGAATTAATCCATCAGTTTGCCACCCTTTGCCCAGGAGATCAACAGCTGATTTTAAAGAAAATCGGAATAATTAGTTGAATGTTGAAATCCGTAACTAATGCAACAGAAAGTCTGAACACTCTGCTCCCCTCTAGCAGCTCTTCTGTGGAATTGTTATCAAGCCCAGTTTCTGAAAGCACCAAATCCCCAACAAATAAAAAGAGAAGGCATGTCAGCCCAAAGCAAAAAGTAAAGGAGAAGGATACTCATCAGGATATANTTCAGGTCCCCTGGGTCTCTCTCAGCTGCAGGGACCCCTTTTAGAACGCTCCGATCCAAACTGTCAGATTATTCCAGCGTTTTTCTGCCCCACCGAATGGAGCAGAGAAACCAGCGGCCATCCCCACCTCACACATGCGCATTTTCCTCTGCAATCAATTGATTACAATTGAATTATATTATTTACACTTGGTGGATTACAAATACTAAGACACTACAACATGAGGAAAGCAGTATCATCACCATCCTCAGCATCATCGTCTATAACTTTCAGCCCTGCAGGCCAGAGAACACTGGTTGCTATGATTCAACAAGAAAAGACCAATGAATCACA